GGGCGTCTTTCTTGTTGTTCTATAGAAGTTATAGATGATTTTGTTGAAATTATGCTGAATAATTTCTTATTTTTTCTCTTATCTAACCTCATATCATTGTAATGCTTCATGTTATCACAGAAATGATAACAGAAATGGATTCCTGGTCCAAAAGTACATTGGCATGGAAAGTTTCAGACATTTACCATGATTTTTGGTGATTTAATTCTGAAAAGTGTTTAAGCCATGTGTACCGTTTTGTGATTTTCCGTTTATAATGCAAAATTGGCAGATTTCCCATTTTTGTGGTTCCATAACTGATTAAATTGAAGTGCCAGAACTCTGAAAAAAAAAATTGGGCTATGAATTTGCATTACTGTGAATATGTTCTGTAAGTTTCATTTCTTTTCAGCAATAACTTTCCAATTTATTGATGTCTGAAATCAGTCTTTTTAGTATTTTTAAATTAATTATGCATCAAGGAGTAATTTTTTTCCAATTTTAAGTCTCTGTATTGGCTTTATTTAAACTCTGATTGTCTTCATCTTGGTATTTTGCATAGTTTATACTGGCACCTGTTGAAACAAATGATAATACACACTTTATGTACCTGAATAAATTTTCTGTGAACTCACAAAATCGCACTTTTTAACGCGATTTTAAAGTTGCCAAAAATTTACGCCGTCCACAAATTTCAAACGTCTGTCATTTTTTATTTATTGTCCGATTTCTATTATTCAAACACCAAAGTTCATGGTTTGCATAGTTCTTTATGATGCAACAAACATATGTTTGATCAAAGCACTTTGAAATTTGGGTTTGTGGTACCTACTGTAAAACAAATTGTTTGTTTTAGTAGACGTTTTACGGCGCTCGCAACTGCATAAGGTCATATGAGCGCCAAGGGGTGGATGTCAACAGAGAAGTCCTTACAGGGAATCAGGCTTACTCAGCTCATCTCTCTAGCTTCAACAGCACAAAGTCTACTTCGACTATCAAGGCACCCCGGAAATAGCGGGTCACAAGAGTGTGACAAACATTAACAAAAGAAGTAGAGGAAAAGTGACGATAATAAGGTAGGAAAGAAAAAGCAGCAGTTCTCTGTTGCAGTTCAGGCACAGTTATGAGAATGATATTTATGAATCAGCAAATTTACAATTCTACTGTGCATAAGAACATGTTTATGTCCCTCCTTTGGAAATGGCCTAAAGACACTTCAGTCAGTAGCACACCCTCCCACCCCCCCCCCCCCCCAAACCCGGCCCCCCAACCCCGTCTGTAAAACACAATATATGTCATGATGCAGTGGAATCAGCCCCTCGTCAATTTTTAGGCGAAGGGAGTTATTGATATCATCTTAAAGCCTAGTCATTTGCCTTGCCCTGAAGGAAAGAAAATATCCTTATATCTCGAACACAAAAGTCAAGATATTTGCAACTGAAGGAGGTGGGGGTCACCGGGTTCAGAGGTAAAATTAGCTAGAAAATGGCTGCAAAAGTTTGCTGACTTCCATAGCTTGAGAGTCCTTGAAAACAGAAAATTTATAGTTTTTGTCCCTTTAATCAACGTTTTTCCATAAAATCCACACAGAAACGTGTTGTTAAATGGACATAAAAGATGTTGAGCCAAAAATTTAAAATTCTATAAAAGTAGCTAAACCAGCAGAATAATGCCGGTTTATTTGATTTCAGTAATTGTATGAGCACCTGATTTCACCACAATGCCTCACATATATATACAACATCTCATACTTTGAATGTCAGAAGCAAGAAACAAAGCCATATCGACTTCTTAATGTAAGGTGTAAGGCCCCGCCATGCACCATTTTGAAAAGTAGCGTTTGATGGAGTCGTACACAGAGCAGGAGACCCAGTTCGATACCCGAGAGTGGAGAATTCTTAGTGAGCACTTCAGTCTCTTTTGTTGGGATGTTGAAATGTTGTCAGGGTGTCCAACAACATTTCAGGAAAAAATGTACTACCTGGAAAAAAAATTTACTACCCAGCAAATCAAGCCCAACACTAGCTCGAAAAAGGGAGTTCATTTACCCCATCAATAACATATATTATTGATATATAATATATATGAAACGAAAATAACGCACAACGAAGTCCAGTTGACAAAATGGAAAATAGACAGACATTCGCTAGATTCAGTCTTAAGTTTTAGTGAGGTTTTTACGGCGCTCGCAACTGCATAAGGTCATATGAGCGCCAAGGGGTGGATGTCAACAGAGAAGTCCTTACAGGGAATCAGGCTTACTCAGCTCATCTCTCTAGCTTCAACAGCACAAAGTCTACTTCGACTATCAAGGCACCCCGGAAATAGCGGGTCACAAGAGTGTGACAAACATTAACAAAAGAAGTAGAGGAAAAGTGACGATAATAAGGTAGGAAAGAAAAAGCAGCAGTTCTCTGTTGCAGTTCAGGCACAGTTATGAGAATGATATTTATGAATCAGCAAATTTACAATTCTACTGTGCATAAGAACATGTTTATGTCCCTCCTTTGGAAATGGCCTAAAGACACTTCAGTCAGTAGCACACCCTCCCACCCCCCCCCCCCCCCAAACCCGGCCCCCCAACCCCGTCTGTAAAACACAATATATGTCATGATGCAGTGGAATCAGCCCCTCGTCAATTTTTAGGCGAAGGGAGTTATTGATATCATCTTAAAGCCTAGTCATTTGCCTTGCCCTGAAGGAAAGAAAATATCCTTATATCTCGAACACAAAAGTCAAGATATTTGCAACTGAAGGAGGTGGGGGTCACCGGGTTCAGAGGTAAAATTAGCTAGAAAATGGCTGCAAAAGTTTGCTGACTTCCATAGCTTGAGAGTCCTTGAAAACAGAAAATTTATAGTTTTTGTCCCTTTAATCAACGTTTTTCCATAAAATCCACACAGAAACGTGTTGTTAAATGGACATAAAAGATGTTGAGCCAAAAATTTAAAATTCTATAAAAGTAGCTAAACCAGCAGAATAATGCCGGTTTATTTGATTTCAGTAATTGTATGAGCACCTGATTTCACCACAATGCCTCACATATATATACAACATCTCATACTTTGAATGTCAGAAGCAAGAAACAAAGCCATATCGACTTCTTAATGTAAGGTGTAAGGCCCCGCCATGCACCATTTTGAAAAGTAGCGTTTGATGGAGTCGTACACAGAGCAGGAGACCCAGTTCGATACCCGAGAGTGGAGAATTCTTAGTGAGCACTTCAGTCTCTTTTGTTGGGATGTTGAAATGTTGTCAGGGTGTCCAACAACATTTCAGGAAAAAATGTACTACCTGGAAAAAAAATTTACTACCCAGCAAATCAAGCCCAACACTAGCTCGAAAAAGGGAGTTCATTTACCCCATCAATAACATATATTATTGATATATAATATATATGAAACGAAAATAACGCACAACGAAGTCCAGTTGACAAAATGGAAAATAGACAGACATTCGCTAGATTCAGTCTTAAGTTTTAGTGAGGTTTTTACGGCGCTCGCAACTGCTTAAGGACATAATATGAGCGCCAAAGGGTGGATGTAAACAGAGAAGTCCAAACGGGGAGTTAAGCTTACTCTGCTCACCTCTCTAGCCTCAACAGCACAAAGTCTGCTTCAACTACCAAAGCTCCCCAGAAATAGCAGTTCACAAGAGTGACAAACATACAAAAGAAGCAGAGGAAAGAAAAAGCAGCAGTTCCCCCTATGTTGTTCCCGCACAGTATGAGCCCATATTCACAATTCTACAGTGCATAAGAAAATGTTAATATCCCCCCTCTGGGAATGGCCTGAAGACGCTTTAGTCAGTAGCACTGCCCTGGTGGTGGTGGGAAGGGGGGATAGATCTAGACCTAATGTGTGCACACAGAATGACGGTCAAACCAGCTTCTCAATTTTCCAGGGGCATGTTACATAACAACACACACACACATATGTAAAATATATCCAAACAACATGTCAGTGTCGCACTGAGGTCTTGTTTGACATACGTATTTCAGTCTGTTATAATATTTTCTTCTCAATATTTCATTATAAACATGAATCCTGCTTTGAGCGGTCGGAAGGGCCCTGAACAAGAATTTCGACTGTCAAGAACCAGTCTGGGAGTCATGACTCATATTATGAACGTGAAAGACAAAAATTATTATCAAACTCAAAGAAAAGCAATAACTTGAATGGCTCAAGTAGACCCATGGAGTGTGAGAGTTGTAAGAAGTGCCGGACGGCAAGATGCAGTGACACTGGAAATCTGCCAGCTTTGAGCAGAAAGCTACAATATTGTTATAATTTGTTATCACCCACCCAATGAAACGCGAACACTTTAGTTCAATAACACGGCTTACAAGGTATGAAGGATCCCGATTCCACACACGGCCTGCACCAACGCGTGCTTTGCAGAGAGCTCTATATCTTAATCAAAATTCTGAAATTTGGTTCCAAAACATTATCCTCCGATGTTGCCCCCCCCCCCCCCTCCTGAGTGTATCTTTTAAAAAAATCAATAATCCCCTGCTCCATTCCGTAGCCCTATGTTTCTCAATGTTCAGACTTTGAATGAACTTTGAAGACCCCAACAAACGTCGTGCTCACAAGCGCAGGTTCACTGATCGGTCACGATGGCGAGTCCGACAATCTAAAAATCGGACGATGCTTGTATTTTCTTTTCTTTTTTCCCCTCACAAGTGACAGCACAGAGACGAGTCAGAGTACTTATTACATTTTATTTGCAAGGCGACACAGCGTTCACACTGCACAATCTGCATGTCACAAATGTTGCGTTATCAGTCTATCGCCGGCAAATTTCTGGGTGGCAACGAAAGCAGAAGTAGGTCCTGATTTTCCAGGATCGAGCCTCTGTGTCACATACACTTCCGCCCCTTTTTGCGTGAAACGTACTCTCGGACGGGGGAAAAGGTGAACGAATACTATATCACAATCACAACCGGCAAAAACAGACTCAAGTACCGCTGCTAGGGTTCACTAAAAAGTCTCGCTGGCTTCACCACTCCGTACGCAGGTTAATTTACGACTGTTTACCAAATGTTTACTTCCATCACGACACATCTACTACCATTTACAACCTTTACGACCAGGGTGCCGAATTTATGACTTTTACGAAGCTCGTCTCCTCAATCCTCTAAATTGTGTCGATAGGGGCGTGAAACACCTATATTTTAAAACAAAACTTAAGGCTTCCCTCACCATGGACACGATGGGTTCCAGCAGTTTGTCCGAGTCCACGTCCATCCAGTTCATCTCCACAGCACCCGGGGCACCGGGGGAGCATGGTGTTAAAAGGTCATTCACGATCAGGTTGGGGTCATCTCTGGAGGGACCTCGCACCTGGACACCAAAGTTAAAGGTCAAATGGATGAGATGAGCTAAGTACATGATATAAAGTAAAATCTCATTATTGTCGCAGACTCCCAGAGCATCCTGCAAAAGGTTGAGAAAGGGCTGCTTCAGAGTGATTGATTTGATAGAAAGGATGAACCCAATAAAACACTCATCACTTAGAGCAATCACATGGATATTCTGTCCTAGGCACTCTGAAGTGAAGGGCAATGAGGAGGCTGATAGACTGGCAGGCAATGCCATGGTTGATGGTGAGGTGAAATTTGATCAGATAGATAAGAAAGGTAAAAAAGATAAGAAAAGGTAAGAAAGATAAGATAATATGTGAGGCATCGTGGTGGATTCAGGCTCTCGTCAATTTTTGGGCACGTAGAGGTATTGGTATCATCTTAAAGCTTATTCACTTGCCTTTATTTGGAAAAAAAATATCCATTTATCTTGAATACAAGTTGAGATATTTGCGAATGAAGGAGGTGAGGGTCACCTGTTTTCAGAGGTAAAATTTGTGAGAAAATGGCCGCCAAAGATTAGTTATTTCCTTAGCTTAAGAGTCCGTGGTAACTGAAAATTTACATTTTTTGTGCTTTTAATCGATGTTGTTCAGAAAAATCCACACAGAAATGACTTCTTTAATGGGCATGAAAGGTGTTGAGCCAAAAAACAAAAATTTGATAAAAATTCACAAACCTGGGGAAAAAATGAAAGTTTCTTCACTTTGACGAGAGCCTGATTCCATCACGCTGCCTCACATATCGTAAAATAGATAGGATAAGGTAAAAAAGATATGGTAAGATAGATAAAAAGGATAAGGGAAGAAAGATAACATAAAAAGATAAGATGACATTAAACAGATCAGATGAGTTCAGATAGATACGGTAAATCAAGATAAGAAAATGTAAGAAAGATAAGATAATAATAATGGTAAAATAGATATGATAAAGTAAAAAAAGAAAAGATATGGTAACAAAAATAAGATACTGTAAAAAAAGATAAGCTACGGTAAGATGAGATAAGGTAGATGAGATTATGTAAAAAATATGGTTAGATAGATAAGATATGATAAGATGGATGAGATGAGGTAGATGAGATTATGTAAAAAAGATGGTTAGATAGATAAGATAAGATAGATGAGATGAGGTAGATGAGATTATGTAAAAAAGATGGTTAGATAGATAAGATAGATGAGATGAGGTTAAATAAGGTTAAGTGAGGTGAGCTAAGGTAACACTTAATTGTCCCAGAGGAAAACTTTGTGTGGTGTTACAGGAATGGCAAAAACACATTGATACAATGAGTTTAAATTATATTTCTTTTATCAAAGAGAATCAATATGAAGAAAAAAATAAAAGATGAAAATAACAAAACAGGTCACATCAGATGCATCTCTAAACACAAGCAAGGATTTATCACAGATTTTTTAAAGTCAAACAGATATATTAATTGTATTATGTGCTTGGATACAAAATCAACAGCAATGTATTTTGACAGCAGCCTTATCGCAGATGGCGCGAAACTTCTTTAGTACCTTGCTCTCCCACGGATAGAGTTTTTCTTCAAAAATCACCATCAGCACAGTTCGGTCATGTCAGCACTAAAGCGAACATGAAAAACCCAACATGACCACAAGCCAAGGAAAATGTAGACAAGAAGAAAAACTGTATCAGGGTAAAGACTTGGCAGTGACGTCACTGCCTGGAAGGTTCTGTCACTGGCATCAAAGATCACTCGTCACCATGGCAATGTTGACAAACATCCAACAGGACAACCCGCCCCATTAGTTGGGACACAGACATGCAACAAGAACACATGAGTTGGAGTTTGACTTTAGAAAAAAAAACACTTTTAAAACAAAAGTGGTTAAGCATCAGATATCAAACCCCCCCTCTACATATATACACACACACCAAACCAAAGTGAACAATCAATTAACCCCTTCGTTGCCTTACAACGTACCTGGTACGTCATGAAAATGTGTAATCTTTAGAACTGTGCCCTACCATGTACGTCACGGAAGTCGGCAAAATTTGCCGCTTCTGGTTGCCTGCATGATGTTACATGTATGACACGTTAATAACCTTGTTCTAATTCTTCTGTACCAAGTTTTTGCCACCAGCGCAGCATAGATTCATATTTGGGAATGAAAGCCGGGCATATCTTTACTCAATTTGCCAGTATTTCTTAACTGCTAGGCTTGCAAGTGATCGATAAACATTAATCTAGGCTTGCCGGCGGCCACATGCTCTTGTAAAACGTAAACATCGAAATTACTTTAAAAAGGAAAATAAATTCATTTTTATACTTAGATTAGCAGGTTATTCAAAATTTTGAAACAGAGGGGAGGAAATGGGAAATAAGAAAAATAACACAATCGAAGACCCGGTGTCCGAAATGTGTCACGAGTATGCTAGATCTAGACCGCGCATCCATCAACACTGAAACAATAGGCTACTGTCCTGTGTAACGAGATCAGCTGAAAATCGGTGCTGACAGTAGGAACCTATACCTCCTGCAACAAGGGTTAACACAATAAACAGCTGCGTCTACGGGAGACAAAGTGAGATGAACACATAGAAACTTACCCTGCGGAAGTGGGTCGCCGTTTGCACTTTTCTCACAGGCTGCATGAGCGCATCCCGCACCACAACGCTGATATCTGCTCCCGAGTACCTGCGGGTCCAAGTTTACATCGGTCAACATTTTTAAAGAAAATGGAATGTACAGTGTACACTTCAGTTCACGGTCAAGTGAGAATCTTCACACTGGTCCCGTCTTTCGAGGGTCCAGGATTGTTTTCAAACTCCAACCTGAGACACCAAAGTGATAACGCCAGATTACACAACAACTAGACCTGCATGTGAGCCTCAACCAGATTGTCTGAAAATTTTGGGCACCCCCCCTCCCCATAAGAGCTTTTGTGGGTGTCATAAAAGGAAGGACTTCCAAGTAACAAGCCGCCACCACAACAAACACAATAAAGAAGAGACCTAACCCTAACCCTCCCCCTTGGCCTACCCCAAAAAAGAACCTGCAACGGCCCTCATGTAAAAAGGCCAGCACAGGTCAAAAAAAAAAAAAGGGGGGGGGGGGGGGGGGGCCTACACTCCTAAACAAACAACAAGGAGCACAATATGGCCTACATTACTGTAATAGAGTTTGATACAATGATACAATAATACAATAGAATCCGAATATGAATCCTCCATATATAGATCTAGTAATCTAAATAAATCTAGATCTAAATCTAGAACGTCAGCAGTCGGCACAAAAACGAAAGTGCCGACAAGGCAGACGGGAGAAAAAGGGGTCGCTGGCAGTCAGCCAGACCTCGACTCGTACTTCACACATTGACTGATACAGGTGAGCCCAGCGATAGCATTGGCCAGCTTGCTGGTCGGGTTTCACATGATTCTCGGCAAACATGTAGGTCTAAACAACAAACAAAGTTACATTAAATGCATACATGCCAACATTGCCTGGGCCAAAATCTGTAGTTGACGCAATTTTTTTCCAAAAATCTGTAGTTGACCTAAAAAATCTGTAGTAGGCTATATTACCACTTGTCGCATACTTAATTTGGGACCCGTATCAGTATTTTGACCCACATCACATATACATGAAGGTGTTTGCGACTTCAAATATAGAATTTTGTAGAAAATGATAAAGAAAAAAGAAAAAAGAAAAAAGACAAATATGAAAACTACCAGAGGCATTTACCCTATAGTAGTTGGTGCCGTTCCTGTCCTATTTCATAAGTGCACGCACACACACAAATGAAACTAACCCCCACCCCAAAAAACCCCAACAAAAAACAAAAACAGAAACAAAAAAGAAAAGATGAAGAAAAGGTGGGCCTTGGATGACTTAGGCCTAGCCTTGGCCCTTTGCCTTTGCAGAGTTAACAAAGTAAGAGTACGACGGATCCCGAGTCCACACAAGGCCTGCACCAACGTGCGTTTTGCAGAGTCTTAGATCTAGTAGTAATCAAAATTTAGAATCCTAAAATTTGCTTCCAACTTCAGTTTTTGTCCTCTGGTATTACCTTCAACCCACCCCCCCCTCCCCCGAGTGTATCTTTAAAGGAGTCCTATACTTCGCAGCGCTCAGACTTTGAATAAACTGTGGTGACCCCTACAATTGCCGGTGCTCACAATGTGATGGAACGCGGTTCATTGACCGTTCACAATGGCGAGCCCGACAAGACACTTGTATAACTATAACTTTCTTTTCTTTTCTTTTTCGTTCACAAGTGACAGCACAGGACAAATATTGATTTATTTTCAAGGCGACACAGCGTTTGCCATGCACAGCCTGCATGTTGTTACAATTTATGTTGCGTTATCAAACTACTACCAGCAAATTTCTGGGTGGTAGCGAAAGTGAAAGTATATCTTCATTATCCCGATCAAACGTCGGTATCACACATACACTTCCGCTTGCCACCATAGCCACCTGTCTGCATGAAGAAACATACTCTCGGGGAAGCCGAATGAATATCACAATCGCGACTGGCAAAAATTAACTTAAGGACGTTATCGGATTTGTTTTTCAAATATTCGGTAACTTTCTCAAATTCCTGGGTAATTCCCGGGGCCTGGCAGTCACCCTGCTGAATCACGAAGTCTGTGGCTTATCTCTCGAAATCGGTGGATCGGTAGTTTGACTAAAAACTCGGTGATCTACCGATTTTTCTGTAGGGTAGGCAGGTATGTAAATGGGACTGGTTTGGTTGCAGTGTGTGTGATAAGGCTCTCAAATTCCTGTCTGGTAGCAGGGACAGTTGGCAAGCCTGGGGAATCTAAGTTTAAAGAAAATTTATCCTTCTGACTATCCCATTCCTCGGATCACACGTAGGTCAGCTCCCTCGCCCACATCAACAGTTCAGCTCAAGAATTCGGAAAGTCACTAACATCAAGCTTTGACAGAAGATCAAAAAATAAAACTCAGCATTATTTGTTCTTCTCCTGGTGAAATTAAAATAGATCTTGTGCTGTCTCTGTTACTTCTGGTCAGATCTAAACAAAGCAAAACATCTAACAAGAAGGTGAAGGTCTTGTCATGTAACTGAAAAAGTTGAACACTCTTGAAATAAACTACCGACATGCTCTCTTTCTCTTTCTCCTTTGTAAAGCAGGTAGAAGAGAAGAGTTCCACCTACCCGTCTGTCCTCATCCCAAGCTCCCTGATGTCGGCCTCCGTCAGACTGTGCGGTGTGCTCCCGAGGTGAAGTTTGAACATCTCAGACCGCGCCGGCGCTTCAGGCAAGGGGATGTAGATTCTCTTCTCAAACCTGCAGGGGAGAAAACCACGGGACCACATCAAACCATGTCCACTTCTGATACACACCACAGTCACTTTGTCATGATGTTGACAAAATGAGATTCAAGTTCATAACTGCCAACTTTTTAAATGATCTAAGCCAAGCCATGTTGTGAACTGTGGTGAAAGCAACAAACTTGTGTTTCGTGCGCTCATATGACCTTATGCAGTTGTGAGCGCTGTAAAACTCTTACTAAACCAAAAAATACAAAAACTTAACTTTTCAAAACAAAAAAGACAAAACCAAACCAGACTACCCAAGCAGCAAGTAAAGATACTGAATAATAGCAAAGAAACACCCCTCCATACCCTTCATCCACACACTTTTCTGTATTATATTCAATGAATTCAAGCTATTCAAAGCAGACCTGCAGCTAAATATCTCTACAACTGATTTATGTGCTTAGTTCTCATTATTTCAGAAATTGGTCATGAAAATTCTTATTTTTCCCCTAGCATTGGCAAATCCACAAGAAGCAATACGAGAAAATAGAATACACAAATGGACTTTGGAACTAAGACCCCCAAACACATATCATGTTTTTTATGTATTGGTTGGCAACTATAGGAGATCAGCTTCACTCATGGGTCTCAGTAGCAGGCAATTAACCAGAACTAAGAGGAACTCCGCTTTTCCTACAATTTCAAATATATTCACTTACAAAAATTAAACGACATTGACTTTCACAATGCCACTTCACCTGCAGAGCCAGATTTTAAACTTTCAAGCATCATTACTATCTGAACCATTGTGTAAATTCTGAGCAGTAGCGAGAGTGAAAGGAGATTTAGATTTTCGAAGCAAGACAGCAGAATTCTAATCCCACACATTCAACGCCTCCCGTACATCTTTGTAGTCTGAAGCAAAAGGCTTGCCATGATTTATATTCTTTGTTCGGTCATTTCTTCCCTTGAAAAGACAAATTTCCACCCACTAGCGCTGAAGTGAAAGAGTAAGAAAATGACAACATCAGTAAATACAGCATTGGTAACACTAAAATACTACATTAGTAACTACACCGTTGTTAACTACACTGTCGGATCAACAAGAGACAGCTCTGCCGTAAGCTGTCAAAACACCTTTTTTTTTTTCATTTTGGCATCAAATTTTTTGATTTGCCAAATCTAAAGTCTGATCCTTTAACTTACTTGAGTGAGAAAATCAACGTGAAACTGACTAGTTTTGAAAAATAAATTAGGATTTAAATGTTGGGAGAATGTTATTTTTAAATTGTTGCGCTACCAAAAAAACTCTTTTTTCCGAAACTGCTGTGAATGAAAAAAGGCGTTTTGTCACCTTATGGCAGAGCTGTGGTATACCTCCACTTCTGTTGGAGCCATCTTTGTGGCAAAACATCCACCGTCCTCAATTTTTCTCCAATTTTTCTTTTTAGGTTACTCTCTAGCAACACCCCCAATCTTCAGCACTTACATGACCTATTTGTGTTGCAAGTGAGGAAAAACTCTTACTAAAACTAACAGATGCAGAAAAAGAAGGGTGTAACAAAGATGAAAAGAAGTTTGTAACAAATATTTTTTTAAAGAGGAAAAGAAGGGTGTAACTAGGGTGAAGAAACCAGAAGGAAAGAAGGACATAGCAAAGATGAAAAAAAAGAAGAAAATAAGGGAGTGGCAAAGATGAACAAAAAGAGGAAAAGAACGCTTAACAAAGATGGAACAAAGAGGAAAAGAGGGACATAACAAAGATGAAGAAAAAAGAGGAAAAGAAGGGCGTAGAGAACGAACCTTCTCCTGATGGCAGAATCGAGAGACCAGGGGATGTTCGTGGCTCCCAGCACCAGGATCCCGTCATTGTCGTTGCCCACGCCCTGCATCTGCACCAGGAATTCTGTCTTGATACGCCGGGCCGACTCCGACTCGTTCTCGCTCCGAGACCCACACAGGGCGTCCACCTCGTCGATGAAGATTATGCTGGGTTTGTTTTCTCGCGCGAGAGAGAAGAGAGACTTCACCAATCTGATTGGATACAAGAACAGAAGAAAAAAAAGTTCACAATATAGAAAGGTCAACAGGGTCAGATCATTTTAGCCAGGAATGTGAGAACTGCAGGCTGAACTAGCAGATGAAAAACAGCTTAATGAGTCGCAACTTTTCAAAAAGGGCAAACAGCTGAGATGGCGGGGGCAAAATGGTTAAAGGGAAAAACTGGAACAAAATATGCAGATGTAATACGTAATTATGTACCGTCTTGAACATTTCAGATCCACTACAAATACAGGAAATCAACAATCAATCTAAGGACAAAAATAATGTGAGTGTGAAGCAAAATGTAAATTGAAAATTGAGTACTTATAAAAGTCAAATCAAGACCAGATCAAGTCATTGCATAACAAATTAGACTCAAATCCAACATCCCAGAGACACAGAATTTGTCACGTGAAAGTACTGTAAGGAATAGCTCCACTCACTTCTCACTCTCTCCCAGCCACTTGGAGACCAAATCAGACGAGGACACGGAGAAAAATTTGGAGTTGTTAGCCTCGGTGGCCACAGCTTTCGCCAGGTAGGACTTGCCAGTTCCGGGGGGCTGCCAGAGAAGATAGTCAAGGCATTACATATAAAACGCCTCCAGATCTTAGAGACGCGGATAGACAAAATGTGGGGCACGGGGGCTAAGGGTGGACAACAAACAAAGAGGACTGCTAACATCGAGGCATGGATGGGCATAAGTAAGGCAGAGTGCATGACTGCAGCTAGTGACTGTAAAAATTTGCAGGTCATTGCGCGTCAATCTCTGAGCAAGAGATGACACCTCCAGATGTCCAGATAGAACAATACTGTTTTCATTATGGCAAAATATTTGGTCATATCACACCTTCTGTAAAAGCGAGATTGTTCAAATTAAAGAAAAGTACACCGGTACTAAAACCAGCCATTTATACAGCTCTGAAAAAAAACCAACACAAAAAACTGGTCAATAAGTAGGACCACCATCAATGCCCTCCGTGGGCACTTGACGGGTGCTCTGCTCCTTCTTTCTTATCAAACATCTATCGTCCTAATCTTTCCTCCTCCTTTTCTGTGTTTACTACTCTCTAGTAACACCTCTAATCTTCAACAATTATATAACCTGATTGTGTTGCAAGTGCCATAAAGCATTTACTAAAATATAACACTATGTGTGAGAAAGAAGAGAAAATAAAATAAGATGCAAAAAGCAATAGAAAACTAAATCAAAACATAAAAAATTCAAAACTGCATTATTGTATCAAAATGTACAACACAATCTTCTTGGGTCCTCCCAAGGCAAGAAATCTTAGAATACAGGGTCAGAGCCAGTTTTGGTCAGAAACAGTGAGAGCCACTGTAAAATACAACAACAGTGAATCAACCCCTTTTAATACTGTTTCCCTCCTTCCTAGAAAATGCATGTATAAAAACACCCTTAGGCTCATTTCAAGAGACCAAGATTCATGCTTAGTTCACCTTATGTTTCATCAACAGAAAATAAGACACAGACTTCAAGACTTCCACAGAGGATTAACTCCCATGCCTAAGTGACAGTGCAGATTTTATTTTGGCTGCTCAGGGCAATCCGTAAAATTAGTTCAGGCGGAAAGGAGGTAAAGAGTGAAATAAAACATGAGACAAACGTGTTGTGGTGTTGAGCACACTGAACATCAAATATGTATTTCTTGGTGTCTCTCACTGCTACATTTTCCAAAACATTTTCAGTCACAAACAACTCACCCCAAACAATAGAATTCCTTTCCATGGTTTCCTTTTTCCTGTGAAATTAAAGGCAGTAAATTTCACATCATGTCCAAAATAATATCACAAAAATATATACACATCTACACTAACAACAATAATGATGACAACAACATACTTTTGATGTCAATGAAACAGGTTCTGCTTATGCAAAAGTTAGTGAAGTGAAACTCTATTTCAATCATTGGGAAGTTTATAGAGCGTTAACTTCTTAGTACTGTACAATTCTTTTTTCAAAGAAAAATAATAATTATGACTACAAAGTCCGTAGGTTAAAAAACCACAGAACTGCTACAAAGTGTGAAAATGTTACAGAAAACATGCAGTGTTAACTTTCAAACCATTACATTACCCAGTGCATCAAACCCAACTATAACTCTATAAAAACAAGTAATCTTGGCTTGTGCCACAACAGCAACAGAAAGTAACCCACAAACTGCCCCCCCCCCCCCCCCCCCCCCCAAAGGATTTCTTGTAACTTTGGGCATCGATTCACAACCATTTGTCAAATAAATTTAAGTAGCTGTAAAAAGTCTACTTTTTAAGATCACTGATGTATGCCCGGCAGAGAGGCAGGGTAGATTGTATGTTACAGAAAAGGGTAGAGTACAGGTGAGAGAGCAGGTTGAGGTGTAGGGTAGAGCATAGGGTAAGGCACTGTGTTGGCTCAGAACTATTTTGTCCAAAGTGTTCTAGAGTAAAGAGTGCACTTTGGACACAATAGTTTTGAGGCGACAACTGATCAAAGATGTATCTGTGTAGAGACAATGAAGTCTGGGAGTGTTTTGGAGCAGTTACCAGTGAAGAGGTGAGGGAATTTCACAGGAAGGATCACAGCCTCTTTGAGCGACTCCTTTGCCCCATCCAGACCAGCCACGTCTGACCACTTGACATTCGGACATTCCATCACAATAGCTCCTGAGATTTCAAAAACAAGAAATAAACGCTGATTCAAACATTTCAAATAAACAAACAAAAGAAGAATACACATCTTACTCATAGAATTGCATTCTACAATGCAGCCTCATGAGCCATGTGCAATGTTTCTATTTCGATAACTGCCAACTTTTCAAAGCCAAAAAAAAACAAAACTCTACTCAAGATGATGAGGATAGGCCAAGCACCCCCCCCCCCTCCTCCTTATTAATCAATTCACACACAACTTTTTGCATTCAATAAAATCAGGTCATTCAAGTAAACCTTCAGTAAAAGATCTCTCCAACTGACTGCATGGAAAGGAGGAGGAGGCAGAGAAAGACAAAAAAGACTAGCAAGTACGCTGCAAGGAACACAAACCTGTCAACTGGGTTTCAAACTTCTTCTTATCTGTGACTTCTTTATCATCTTCATCGTCACTTGACTTGTCACTGAGAACAAAACGAGATAACAATAATAATAACAATAATAAAAAAGATAATTTAATTACATTAAAAACATCTAAATGAAAGGCTGGATGAACAAGATGTTTTTAATATATTTTGCCACCCCCCCCCCCCCCCCCCCCCCCCCACCAACATACAAAATAGTGTGTACTTTCATTTCTATACAATTCAAGCACACATTTCACTTCACCAATGTCAAACCAATCTAAAAGCTTAATAAATTGCATCATGCAACTAAAAATTAGTATAATTTTTTTTTCCTAAGCAATACAATTGTTCAAATAATTCATAAGGTACTAACAGCCTAATAACTTCTTCACTCACATCCCAAAAAAACTTTTTTTTTAGATTCCTTTAGCATAAAGGTTTAAATTGCACAAAAACCATACTTTTCCACCATATAAACATATGGTTAGCACAGCCCTACACTCACTCAGGCAAAATATTCCTTAATTTAAAAAGAAAATCTGAGCCAAAACTTTCCAAGAACCGGGGGTCGATTCTAGATACGCCACACACCTTCCTTGGCTACGATGGATGATCACAAAGCAAGTGTTCCTAAAATCAAATCTTTTTGACTTCTCCAGAAAACAGATGATCATTATTTCTTCTACACGAACAAAACAAGACCATTAAATGTACAACTTTGTGAGGTGTCTCAGTCCCATCTTAGGATCAGAACAAACACGCAAACAAGCCTGAAAAAAAAAGTATACTCACTCAGCAGCATGCTTTGAGTTTGAGGGTTTTCCACCGTCCGCGACTGGTTTCTTTTTGTCCTTCTTGTTTAGGTAGTTCTTCAACTTTTCTGCTCTATCTAAGTATTGGTTGCACTTTGATCGTATAGATTCCTTAGCTTTGTCGCTGGACGCTTCATCTGGAGCATTGAAAAATGAAAAAAAAAAAAATTTAGATCATTAAAATTGATTTCCGTCATACTCATGTCATCAAAGTGTGACCATTTTGACAATGAAAGTGTTGTCAGGGATGTAAATAGGTTTTGAAAAAAAAGCCGGAAAATATATGGCGCGCTCGCACTGACTGAAACAAGAATACAGTGAGACTAAATTGCTTGCTTCTCTCCCTCTATTACAACAAATAATCTCTAGTATATATATATATATATATATATATATATATATATATATATCACAGCGCACCGGCAGTGGAATTTTAGTTGCCGCGGGGGGTTCCCCGCCGGGCGCCTTATCACGTCGGGGTCACGGGGGTCAGCTCCCTGTCGCCGCTCTGTCTGGGCCGACCTAATTTTTGGTACTTTTCAACGTACAATTTAAGGTGTATCCTTGTATTTTGGTAATTCTCATTTAGTGCATCCAAAGCACGCATTTCTGCTCTTGAGACTAAAAAAAGAACGGACGTTGTAACTTGTCTGGTTATTTCATTAGACGCGCTGGAGTCGGCAATGCAAAATTGTAATTTTTTTTTGACTAGCGTGAATGAAAAAAAATCAATATTAAAAAAAAGGCATCGTCAAAATCTGTCGAACTTTTGGAACATGAACAACATAACATTGGTGCAGATACTCAGAAAAGATGGTATCTGCGCTTATAATAGAAGGCTGTAATTTTACAATTTTATCCATCGGGCACACAATTCGCTATGAAGTAATTCCTCCAAATACAACTTTATGTGTCTAATATAATCGTGAATATTCGCATATTTTCTCGAAAGTTTATAAAAGTTACAATGAAGTTTCTCTATGAAAAGTACAAATCGATTTTAGTGCTAGAATACATCTTCAACGTAGATCTAATACACGAACAGTATCCGTTACACTCCAGAAATTCCTTACTAGATTTTGGAGAGATCTGTCGTGCCTTTTTTAAATTAACAATCCTTTCTTCATAAGTTTGTAACTAAAATAGGACAAATTGGGTACTCTACAAACACTTGTCTAGAGCAAAAACTAAGGCACAGAAACTAACCATTCTAACGCAGAATAAATCTCAAGACATTGAGCTTTTAGTACATCCGCGTAATGGTTTGCTATGTGGGAGGGGGAAGAAGTTATATCGTTTTAAACATAGTCAAAAATGCGAACTTCCTGACCAACAGCGGCAAAGTCGCTTCAGGGCTCATTAACCTCGTGATCCCGAGCCGGGGAGCTCCGGCGGGCTGCTGAGTCACGCGAACTAAAAGTAACAGAATCTGGCGAAAAGTGACGCCGTGACATATATATAATATTTATTGTTTATAGTAGACTTTTGTTAAAAGCTGGGGCCCAAACGGCAAGTTGGGCGGAAAAAATGGAAAAAGTCGGAAGATTTACATCCCTGTGTTGTGCTGAAATATCATGCTAAACAGTGTCGTGTGTCCCATGGCTAGACAATTTTAAACAGTCAATAAGAATTTATACTTACTATCTTTATCTCTGAGGGGGCACTTTAGCGTGTGACTAAAATTTCAGCCCCATCCAAAAAAAACCAACAACAACACAAAAAAACCCAGCAATTCTCTATGTGCTCACAAAACAGACCATATTTTCAAATGAAATTCAGGCCAGAGAACAACACAGCGCTACACTTCAAGCCTGCGGGCTGCTTGTTTCTCTCATGGTATGTCTCGTGTAGGCTTCCAGATAATAGAAGTTGACCTCCGACATAATCCTGTATCACAGTGTTGTATTTCTTGTGAGGACAGTGAGCGACAACCCCAGTTTTATAGTGACTGTCTGTGAGTTTTTATTGTTGTATTCTACTAGTAAAACTACATTTTTTTAGTGCACGCGTTGCCAGACTCACAGCCGCTCACTGTATGACTAATTTTTTCATAGAAATTGTTTAAATACAAAATATAATGTTTTTATTTAATATGCATCTATCAGGTAATTTCAAAATATGATATAATCTCTATGAATGTTGCCCAACGAAAAAATGGAAATGCGTAACATAAAGGCTATTATTATACTATATATATATTATCATTATTATCAGTGGTCAGAATTTACTTTTACGTCCAACAAGTGCAAAAGAATGCAAACACTAAATCGTACATACACAGGAAGTTGAAATATGGGCGGTCATTATTGACAAAGAATAAGAACAGGAACACCGCAAACCCCCTCATCCTTAAACTTGAGTTATTAAGCCCAACCCCAGCCATAAGAACTGGACAATCTTTTTTCTATTATTTTCAATCTCATTACCTCCGTGACCTTGAGTAAAACAGTACAAAACTCTTCCCAATATTAGTTAAAAATACACAGGAATACTTACATTTGATTGCATGAAGAAAGTACTCCACTGAATGCTCGTAACAACGCAAAGCTTCTTCATAATTTTTATTCTTGTCTTCTTCTGTAGCCTTGGTTACCAGCTCAATGGCTTTCTGGAGACAGGACAAACAGAACACAACAATACAAATGCGTTTAAAATCAGATTAATGACAACTTGAGCAAACACAATATATTGCTGTATTCAGCACAGTTTGACATCCTTGAGATAAACCCTCAGTATAGCTCAGTGATCAAAAGTTCCCTGGTCTACAGCACTGACAAACAACCAAGGCATCACTTTTTAGCAGCCAGGGGCTAGGTATGGGCAAAAGGCACCATGCCCCCTCTTATACTTGCAACAACAATGCTGTTTACATTACACAATAACCATAGACTACATTTTTCAGTTTCCGTTTCACCAAAACCCTTCCGATACCCACCCAATGCCCAAAACCCAAAATAATCCTTCGTGACGTCGCTAGCTGTTTTAGAAAACTAATATCTGGTACCTGGCTTAGGACAACTTAACACAATTTGACTTGCAAGGGTCTGCACAAGGGCTGACATAATAAGGTATTCCCGATTTCTATATACAGTAGTCTTCGCCTAAGATCCCGGTGCTCGGGAGCAAGGAAATGCGGGATCTTAGGCGAACCGGGATCTTAACCAATGAACCCAGGGAAGAATCTATGGAGACCCATGTTAAGGCTCACAATCGGTAAAACGGTCTCCCTCCACTCTACAATGAACTGGCGTGACCCCTTGGTGGGTTTATGACGTATGGCGAGCAAACAGTGGTTAACCTTGATGACCTATCACAGTGCATAGTGGCATGAGGCGTGCCATTTTCACTTATTATCCTATCATGAGTCTCAGGATCTACGTTTATCCAGTTGCCCCTCCTCTTTACCTGTCAAAATGTATAGCTTTCCATCTCTGACCGAGTCTCCCCCCCCCCCCCCTCCAAACCGCCTTTGTCATTACACACCATTACGTTGTGAACGCACCAATTAAAATTCAGTCTATCTCGCAAATTCGGGAGTACAGACAACTGCTGCAATGGTCAAGGAATAGTTCACGGTTCGATGTGATCCCGCCTGGACGAACGTGTAGGCCCTACCTACCCAGCGAGTGATGCCTGTTTAGGTGGCGAGCTCAGGTGTGAGTGCGATGCGTGGGGAAAACAAACGCGTCAGTCAGTTCACACCCCGGTGTGATCCCGTCTGGGGCAAACATTGTATCGCTTCATCGAGTTTTACAACGTGTATGTGATCACATTCACGTTAGTGGCTGATCTTTGATGCGACGGACAGTTTATTGATCTCCACTTTTCACTCTTGGTTGATCGGCTGTCCCGCCCGGGTTTTTGTTTAGCAAATTATGATCTGAAATGCGGGATCTTAGCCGAATGTAGACCATCAGAGCGGGATCTTAGGGGTGACTTTTGTATAGTAAAAATTCTGTTTTCCTAAAACAACGGGATCTTAAGCGAACCGGGATCTTAAGCGAACCGGGATCGTAAGCGGTGGGATCTTAGGCGGAGACTACTGTATTTAGTTGGTGCCCGTGACATGTAAGCTCCATACCTTGCTTACAGTGGCCAACCTAACCTCGATATATATATGCAGGCGCTTTGCCCATCGGACAAATGCTCACCTGCGATATCATAATGCACACATAAAACGGCATCTGTGGGGCAACAATCAAATGATCACATGTAGATCATACATGCATGATTTGACTTTGTCAATTTATTCGTACTGGCCCACGCATGTCCAGAGATGAAAAAAAAAGCAAATCAAAGGCCCAGAGCTTGAATAGGAGTGTACATGACCATTGCAGAAGGGTTACTCAGTGCCGACATCCCTTTTCCCATCGCCCCATGCCACTGAACTCTGAACGCAGCTGTATTCATTTTTCCTATCTTTCAACACAACTCTGAACAGAAGGCATTTTACATATTTAAGAATGAAGCCACTAGAGCGGAGCCTCCCACAGGCAGTGGCAGTGTTTCACTTTGGTCAGATTTTTTTTCACCTCACATCACATATTCCAAGCCTGCAGTCAGAGCTGAAACAAGTTCATACAGAATGATATATATATAAACTTTTGTACTAAAATCAAGCAAACATCCCCACTCATTTAAATCTCGTCAAAAGGCAAGCCGTACATATCAAATTTTTCCTCACAACTGTCTCCAATTCAAACACTTCAGCTCTGCATATTACCTGTATTGTGAGTAAGGCATAGAACTTCCTTCAATCTAGTTATGTGTGGGTGCGTGCGCTAAGTGGTGGTGATGGGAGGGGGTGGAGGAGACATATAAACTTTACCCTTTCCCTTTTCTTGAAAATTGAGACCAAATAAAAAATACCAATGATGATTGAAACGTAAGCCCTATCAATAACAATACCATGCACTGTCACTACATTATTTAGTAAATTTTTACTTTCACTCCCGCACACAGACGCACTGCTTCGGGCATTAAACTGCAGTATACAGTCAAACCTGTGTAAGACGGCCACCCATTGTCAAGGAAAAAAGTGGCCGTATAAGACAGGTGGCCATCTTAGGCAGGACTGATCAAGAAGAAGAAAACAAATTATTCCTATCAGAAGTCCCAATCGAAAGTAGCCACACTGTTGTTTTTGTTGTTGTCGGTGGTGGTGGTTTGTATTTTGTCTGTAATTTTTATTTTGTTGCTGATTTCGCAAAAGGGTGACAATAAAACGAAATGTATCAGACAAGGAAGACCGAATGCGAAGTAAAAACAAACTCCTGGGTCGCCACCACTCGGAGAACGAGCGACGTTTCTGTCACAAGTTCATGTTGACGTCCTTTGTTACTTTGTTACAGACTGGGTAAACAGTGACCACTCATCTCGCTTACGATTTGTGTTTAAGTTCTGGGCGGGGCTTATGGGTTATGAGGGATCACACGCTTACCTCACCAGCAGCTGAAAATTGGTAGCTACTGGTCAACAGTAGGAGCGGCCAACGCAACATGATCGGTTGGAGGGACTACCTAACAACAGCGACAGGGGATTGAATTATGATGGCTTGCCCACAACGCCAGGAGCCAAAGCACAATTTATGACAACACGAAATGGAGTCACTAAGGTGACCGTCTTAGACGGGTGTTATTGCTTAGTGTGATAGGGGTTGTGTGTTGAAATAAGGTGGCCGCGGCCGCGTTGGACAGGTGCCCGTTTTACACAGTTAAATTATAGAAAAAACGCAAGGGGGGAAATGGAAAGTGGCCGTTTGTACAGGTGGCCGTCTTATAGAGGTGGCCGTTAGGGCAGGTTCGACTGTAGTTTGCTGCAGATCACACAAAGCCACTACCAAAACCGTCGCAAATCAATTATTTTAAAGAAAATTTCAAACCTTTAACTCCTTCTTCTTCTTGATCGCATAACACTTGAAGTCTGGTATCTGTCATAAATTGGGCCATCCTGCTCAGTTCATCTGTCGGCTCGTATAGCTTCTCTTGTAGCGTCAGTGGGGTTGGCCACGTTTCCTGTGTCAGGGCCCTGTGTGTCTTGCAGTGCTGAAGGATGTGTTCAACAGTTTCGTCCTCCTCTCCACATTGGCATTTTGGTGATTGTACTAGTTAAAACATCTGTAAATATGCTGGCTCAGTCTTGTGTGCTGTGTCCTTAGTAGGTACGCGGTAGATAATCACTTGTTCTTGACAGGACAGCTCAGGGTAACCATCTGGTGTCTGAGGTGCTTTAAATACTGTGTTTATAATAGTTTTTATTTCTGTGTAGTTAACGCTGTTGTCTGGTTGCTCTTTCTGTGCTCCTAGTTTGGCCATCCTGTCTGCCTGCTCATTTCTTAAGACACCAGTGTGAAGGAATCCACTGCAACTTGATCCTCAGACATGGGATGTCCTCGATTACTTTTCGTAGCCTTGGTAGTTTGCCGGCAGTGTTTGCTTGCAGTACCGACATGGCATCTGTTAGGAATACTACTTGGCTTTGTGGGTCTACCACATTCTTGATGATGTTTGCTGCATGTATTAGAGCCTCCGTCTCTGCTCTGTTGTTTGTACAATGTTGCCCTGTTGGGACTGCCTCAGCTTGTTGTTGTCCATTTGGGAATTGTACGTACACTCTGGCTCCTCCTCTTTTCACAGCATCAGTGACAGATCCGTCCATATAGATCCTTATCCATGCTTCTCACGGGTATCTTTGTTCAAACATGGACAGGTTGAGGGACTTCTTGCTCAAGTCGCTGTGGTCATCTTTTGTGGTAAACATAGGAATGGACATGTGAATACTTATGTTTTTGTTGTTCTTTTCCCATGATGGTGCCTCTGGGGTATGGTTCAGCATGTTCACAGTGGCTGGTAGATGGTCTTGTAGGGATCTTGGGATTTTTCTGCTTTCTTTGATGAAGTTGGATCTTTTAAGTCTTCTGGTGTTTGATCTGGCTGTTCTTGTGTGCAGTATATGATCCTCCATAGCTGTGGCCTTGGTGTACTGTATGAGGACCTTGCATTCCCATCTCCTCTGCAGGGCCACTATAGATGTTGTTTGTTCCATCTTTTCTATAGGCGTTGACCTCATTGCTCCAGTGATTATTCGGAGAGCCTAGTTTTTGCACTTTTTCCAGAGTGTATTTTATGAGTCTGTGCTGCAGTCATCCATGCACTGGATCTGTACTCGAGATGGGGCCTGATTGCGCCTAGATAGACCTGTCTAAGTCTTGTGTTTTCTCATTTGCTCCACACTGAGTCCCTGCTAGTTTTCTCATGATGTTAAGTTTCTTCCCGGCTTAAAAAACCTTTAACTGTAAAATATCAAATTATGGGTAAAAACAGGGGGGCATGACCCCAGTGGCGGTAGGTGGACCAAGATTTGGGTGGGGCTTAGGTTTCTTCCACTTCTTTATCACCAAAAAGCAAGTTATAAGAACAAAACTGATGATTTTTCTATACTCACTGAGAGCCACGGCATTTTGAGAACCTTTCAAACGAGAAGAGTCACCTTTGTCTTTCATCTCTTTGTTCTTAGTTAAAGTTAAGCTCTTCTGGATGGTGGGGATGAAGCCGTTTCACCTCCAAATTTCTTTAATTAGTTTTTATCTGAAGAAAAAGTTGCCTCAAAAGTGGTTTGATGTAATTAACAACTGTTAAATCTCAGCGACACAAACACACAGCACTCCAAACACATACCGTCTATGAGGTGGATAGGGTCGTGTTGTTGCGGAAAATAGAACGCGCCTAACAAAGGCCCAATGGGCGCATAGGTATCTGTGTCACTGGGGGAAAGTGTGTCGTAAACTTTCACCCCGTTGTCAGGGCTGGGAGAGCGTGAGCCCTCTGTGCAGCGTAATTTTGTAAAAGTCTTCTCTACCTTTTAACAAGAAGAGTTTCATTAAAGACGGGCGTGGGAACCGGCTTATTCTTTCTAAGCCCTAATGACATTTGATTGGCTGTTAGGTTACTATAGTTGTAAGCGGTGACAATAATGATTGGATAAACGGGCAAGCCGCCAAGCTGATAACTGTGTTCATTGAGTGCGATCATGACGGTTTCAACTGCTTATATAAATTTTGTTAAGAAACTTTCATTAACTAAGGGATAGAGATGGGGCGGGGGTGAGGGGCTCAAGCCCGTAAGCTCTTCACTACCCACCGCCACTGCATGCCCCACTGTAACCCCCCAGATTTGCGTTACCCCAGGGCAGGCAGGCCCCCCTGAAATCCCCCCGATTGGTCCAAAGCATGCAAATTACTACGTGGTTAGGCATAGTGTTATATATATAGCTCGATTATAACTCATTCTCTGCCCATAACTGAATATATCGGCAGCGCGACAGCATATCTTTTGCGCTCATTTCCGAAACAACGGCATAGGCTATACCCAAACTTTGTTTTGTTCGTAAATGCTTGATCCATAATTTTAAGTTTTGATATAAAAACAAATCTCAAAAGTAGAAACTTCCTGCAACGAAATATAGTGTCTTAACTACATTTAAGTGGGTGAAAAGTTTAAATTGTTGGAGTATTTTGTGTGGTGTATTTGTGAAACCAAAACATGAAAGATGGCTACACCAATTTCTTGTTCTTGCTATGTTTCTGGGTCTGGTAGAAATCACCCCGTAGGTCTATAACTCGTAAAACAGACCAGCGAATTTTTCTTTAATGGTAACCTTGAGGACAGAGAAGATTATAATGTCCTAGAATCCTTAGCTTTGGATTCTGATTCGGGTGATGATTGAATCGAGAGTGAGAAGCGTGATAAGAAAGACATAATTCGTAGATCTAAATCTACAGTGACAGCAAGGAGGATAGTTGAAGACAAGGGAGTGAGTGGATATGCTGGGAAATGAAAGGGAAAGAAAGCAAAGAGAAGTGAAAATCAAGAGGAATAATGACATAGATCTTTGTATAAAATCTAAATCTGGACTTGGACACGCAAGTGCAACTCGGGCAAATTCTGATTCATTTCAACTTTTCGTATTGTCACAGTGATGTTACAAAATTGATAATAAAATCTGCTAGAATAGCACAATTTCATACCTTTTTGCATAGACATATATGTAGATCTAGATATTTAAGAGTATTCTGGTGTGAGTGGAAGAATCTTTTTTAAAAGAAAGGGATGGCCATTCTATGCTTGCTTGTTATTCATCATGTACATGATTAGATCTAGATCTAATACGGATTTTGGAGACCACAGTACAGGACAGGTAAAAATCCTTCCCGATTCTCCATTTCTTCTAGATAAGAATCTAGGCTGCGGTCAAGTCTTGGCCCAAGTAAGCGAAGAGAAGAAAAGTCTGAACTTAATTGAGAAGAGAGCCTACAGTACAGTACACATTGTCATTATCATTAGAAACGAATCTAGATACCTCCACCATGTCTCCCCCTCTTTTCACTGGTCTGGTAAACTTCACCCGCGCCTCTATCGCTATCGTCTCTCATTAGTTTAGTCTCATGGTACCTCTTAGGCCTAGCCTAGGCTGGCAATGTGGGTCCACTAAAGTAAAGTTCTTGGGCAGAGCAAACTATAAAATGTTCCTGGTCCACTTTTCTGTTTATTATAATTGATTTGCATGTGGTAGCCCCCTCCCCGACTGTCGAATACTAGATCTATAAATAATAAGTATCCTAATATAACTTTTAAAGTGCTGAATGTGCGGTCCACCAAAAATTAGCGTACTACGACTAATTCAGAAAACCAGGAACCTGCTGGTTCATCCTCCACTTCTCGTCTCCCTCCGCTGCCTCCCCCTCAAAAGAAAAGGAGCAAAAATAAGCCTACGACATGTAGATCTAATCAAGAAAATCAGGAACCAGCTGGTCAATCCTCCACTGCCTCCCCCTAAAAAGAAACAGCGGATGGGATCATTTTTAATACAAATATAATAGTGAGAACCCTGCGCCCGTTCCTGCGGTAAACGTCCTCATCCGATGCCTAGATTGCCTAGATATTCTGGACTTCGATCTCTTCAATGATTCGGATAACAGGTCCGTTAACAATTTTATCTCGTCCCCCCCTTCTCTCTCTCTTACTCTATCTCTCTCTCTCGTGGTATTCTCGCAGCCCTCACTCACTCCGCCTCGTGTCGCCAGGAACAAGTCTCACTCACTCCGCCTCGCGTCGCCGGGAACTAGTTCGCTTAGCGGTCGATTAGGACATGTCTGTATAAGTATAAGTCCATTGTTTGCCTAGTGCGCATTAATACATAGGCCTATATAAAAACATGGTGGGTCCACGAAAGTTCAATCCAGCTCCTGTGATCTTTGTCCTTGCGCGATGAGGGGAAAAAATGAGGAAATGGTTGGCCAATTTCCATCCTTCTTTTGAAACACCCTGTGCGAATATTATAACTTCATTATATACATGGTGGGTCCTCGAAAGTTCAATCCAGCTCCTGTGATCTTTGTCCTTGCGCGATGAGGGGAAAAAATGAGGAAATGGTTGGCCGATTTCCATCCTTCTTTTGAAACACCCTGTGCAAATATAATTTCATAGTATTCGAACACCCTGTGCGAATATAATTTCATAGTATTCGCACAGGGTGTCCGAATAACTACAGCCGATAAAAATACTTCCGTCTCTGTCTCGAAGACAGACCAACCAAGTTGAGGAATCTTGAACCTTGTCTCTGCTCTCTCCTCTGTCTTACTTAGATCTAGACTAGAATCTAGTAACTTAACTTTAATTCCACGAAAAACACAGCCTCTTATCGATAAAAGAAAACGGGATTAGTTTAAAATTACCTGTAAAGCGCCTTGGTTTGACATCGGGAAGCCCTACTTGGAGCTTTACGCTTGAAGACCTTACTCCACAGTCCTACTCACCATCCGATGATTACGATGAATCAAAACAATGGCGAAATACAACTTCCGGTTGTTGAAAGTCACGTGACCCTAATATTATGATTCCAACTAAAACTCCTCTTTGCTTTAGATCAGATTGACTCATTAAGTGTGGTTAGGAGTTTGATATCATTGATACTGAAAACTCACAAAAATTGAATGGTCAGACAAATGTGGTTCTGATACACACACACGGCACTCCCAAAATATCATAAACAAATTGCGCAAGGCCGCTACCGGAAGTTTACTTGATGCCTAGTGCCTGCTGCCTGCTTATAAAAATGTATGATCAGTAGCCTAAAATAGAATCTATGCACAAAACAATTTAATCGTTTCGTGTTTTGTGAGTTTGATTTAAATAAAAATATGTGTGTATAGCCGAGTACCCTGAAGCCAGGGATCACCTTTACATCAAGAGCAACTAAAGATTAACAAATTTGATGATTCTTATAACATAAGTAAAACTACCCACTACCAGTTTATCACTCAATGGTCCTATTTTCCATATATTTTCTCCCCATCCGTCTTTTTTTTCTAGCACCAGTTATTTAATCTCTAATAAGAAGAGTAATTGAGCAGTGTACAATAATTGCCATAAAGTTTAGGCCTACATGTCTAAAGAAAGAGGGGACGCTATGACTTGCTAAGACAAAACACTAACAAAAAGACTAAGAAAAACGGACTGCTTTTTTTCAGTAGGAAAGGATGTTCCTTTATCAGGGGAGAATAATTATTATACACGTCATCTGGAAGTACCCAGCAAATGACTTGATCGCCTCCCTTGGACCAAAATCCGTTCACGAGCGTTCCAAGCATGACGTGCCCTCAATGTGCATGACGCATGGTCACATGTGGACATGTCAAATGATCGCGCAAAAGTATGCGATATCTACACGACATGTAATAGAATGATTCTTAGGGCGGATCAAACTGTCATCTTTCAAACAGCAAGTTCGTTTAGTTTTATTAGGAGTGTAACGGCACTTGCAACACAATTCAGAGCGGGGGGAAAAGAAAGAAAAGCAAAGTGGGCCCAGATCTGTGCATAGCCTACTTGGAGCAAAATGTGACTTTGGTTAATTAAGTTCAAGAGTTTTGAGGTGTTTCTGGATAGTAATAGAAAGAAAAGAAGGAAGGGAGATATTGACAAAAGATTTATTTATTTATTTGTTTATTTATTAAACCTTATTCATTGTAGAAACGAAAGGAGAATAGGCCAGACCACAGCACCCACCAACCACCTACGAACGGCTGGTTCAATTGGAAACTTGTTATCGGACACAAATACCTTCGTAAAGAGTTGTAATTTCGAGGGAGATTAATATTACTCCATATAGGAGAAATATTTGGCTTTCACCTATCATGTAGGCCTAGGCCTGTATATATTTGGTCTGGACTCTTATACTGGGTCCGTTTCGAGTCATTATGATAGGTATATACATGTATATATATATAAAGTATAAAGGAAGTGACTATTGATTGCTGTTATTATGAGTTTATTGTTGGCTATGA